TCCCCGCGCGGCCCAAAACGCTGAGTTACAGTGACCTCCCAAGGAGAAAACAAGACTGGCACCGCTTCCCGCGAAGCCAGCCCTCCGACTAGTCGCACATCACTGCTGATAACGCTTTAATTATTATCTCCACTTAAAATGTGCCTTATTTCAACAATCTGCCACATCCCCGAGCTGCAAAACTTTCTCCGGCTGGGAATTATCCTTTTCTTTTTCTTTTTTTCAGCTCTGTACACAGTATTACTCACGAGCAAGCCAAATCCCCTCCAATTACACATCACGATGTTTCCGCTAAAGCGAGGCCCTTCTCTTATAAATGGCACGGTTTATAACAAATTGTCTGTTCGACCAGACAGAAACTGATTTCCTCAAACCGAGCATATTAAAGCGAGTACATTCATTCTGCTTGTAACACACAAAATGTGATTATAGCAGACACTTTGGGGCTTTCTAAGGCTAGCCACGGAGAGCAGGATAAGCTGGAGGGAAAGAAAGGCTTGACAAGCGGAGGGATGACGGAAGAAGAGGAGCTTGGATTCCTCACAAACCCCCAGTCAGCAGCAATGGGTCTGTCTAACCCCACGAGACAGCCCAGGCGGGAGCCAACGCCACCGACAATGGCTCTGCTGTGCTGGGAAAGGCATCTCCCATGGAAGCAGGAGCTTCCGAAGTGGGGGAAAGCCTATGGAGAGCCACCGGGGCCTTATCCTGCAACTGTTGCTCACTCCAGTAATCCCCATCGCTRTGAGAAGCCCCGACGACATCAGTGTGGGCAAGGATTACTTGTGAGTGTATCGCGGCCAGAGGATTAGACTCGGATTATCACTAAACACTGTAATTCCTAATCCCATTGCCAGCGGCCCCCGGYGTGGGGCAAGACCCCTGGCGAAGGGCACCGCCTCTGTGATTTGGGGGCCACCAAAAGCGGGGGCTTTCGGGGCACCCTGAGCTGTGCCCGGCTCCTCAGGAGGCCACGCAGGTGCCCTTGTCCCAAATGCTGCTCCGAAGCCCTCGGCATCCAACCCTGGCCCTGGAGCCAACCTTAAACCTCGTTTTCCAAGGCAATTCCTCACTCRCAGGCACAAGCATCATATGGGAAGTGACACCAGAGGCTGCATGTTCAGCTCTGTTTTATCCACCAAGGCCTCGCCTTCCCATCAGGGCAATAAGGGAGAGTCACTTTGAGGAGCAGCGTTAGCACTATCTCCCTGACACTGATATCTGTAGATTTAAGTCTCCTAAGGGAGAYGGTGGAGGCCTCATCACTCGAGATGCACCAAACAGGCCCGGGTAAAGTCCCGGCGCATGGAGCACTTCTGGCTGAGCGGGAAAGCAGTTGCTTTTCCCTCCTTACGGAGACTCGGAAGGCTCTTTGGTTGGGTAGGGATTATTTTTATTAAACCACCTTCACCTGGAGGCATGTTGATAACCTGTCCGATAAGCAGATGGTTGTAGTGAACTAACGGAACCAGCACAAAGCCCACAGAACCACCAAGGTTTGGGCAATGGGGTTTGTGGGAAGCAGCCAGGAGACCCAGGCCGATCCCGGGAGCAGGACACGTGTGTTCCCAAGCAGGTGCCTGCCCAGAGCAGCCGCAGACTCTCACCGCAAGCTGGGATGTGGACTAGGAGCCAGCCCCATCCATGCTCCCCATGCACTGTCCTCGTGCTTGCCAGGACAGGGATGCCAAGTCATCCGGTGCTGCCTGGAGCGCCGGGACGCTGCTCTCATCCATGGGGGCCACCTGGATTTTTAAGTTTTTCCTGAAAACAGTTGAATCCAGAGCCTTAAAACTCCCCTTTTAACACTCTGAAAAGCAATGCCAAAACAGCAACAACAAAAAAGCAACAAAGAGCCCTTCCCTAAAACAAGTTCCCAAGCCACTTCCTGTGGGGATTTCTCCTCTCCTTGCCCTGACATGGTCCTTATCCACCAAAACACCTCTTAGGGCCAAGCAAACCAATTTGCCTATACCATCCATATACCAYACCATATGCATACCACACCATACCATACATGTACTACATGGTTTAGAAAAATCATAGCAGCTGGAGGGGCCACATCCGCAGGCTGGGATTCTCCCGCTGCACAGCAAGGCCCTCACATCCCAACRTGGGGCCAGCAGCTCCAACCTGGAGCTCCATCCCCACCTTGGATGCGCATCCTGCCCCACGCCAAGGGCACCGCCCGGCTCCGTGCAGCCCCCGCCGCAGGACRGGGGGACTTGGCTGCCACAAGGACAACAGGGAGGATTCGGGAGCCACGCGGCCCCGGCACGGCCTCCTCGCACCTCCCTCCAAAGTTGGTCCCTCAATGCGCCGAGCCGGCAGCGCTGCCAGCGCCGCAGCTGCAGGCATCTCCTTGGAGGGGACAAATTAGCAAACAAACAAAAGAGACRGCCCTGGCAGAGAGGTGTCCTCGGGGCTGGAGCCCTGCCGCGCGCAGGAACGGCTCCAAAACCCAGTGATGTCAGTGGAAAATCTCCCGGTTATCTAATGGGTTTTGGATGGGGCCCTCTGAGACCACCCACTATCCGGAGAGGCGCTGCTCGTCTCGGCAGGGCTGGGGAGCTTTTAGCTGCCCGTGCTGCACGCTCGCTGCTGCCGGGAGAGCAGCTTTGGAGCTGACGCTCCGGGCAGGCAAAACGCGGCACTTGCTACAACAGGCAAGTCCCCTCCATCAGGCCCTGCTGATGCCTGCAGGAATCCGTGCAAAAAGGGGCAAAACAGAGGCACGGGGAAAGGGGCAAACCCTCTGCACATGTCCCAGCCCCCCGGCAGCGAAAGATGCACCAGAGCTTTATTTGGAGAACAAAATCCAGCCAGAGCCGCCCCCGGCTCAACCGCTGCACCGGGGAGAGACACGTGCCAAAATGCATTCTGCCTGCAACTGCCTATTAACTTTATCAGATGAGCTATGATGTTTCCGATGATCTTTCCTTCTTCCCCAGAACCGCAGACCTCCAGCTGCCTGCACACGCTTCTAGTTAACGCCAGCGCGTGATGGATTTTACGACTGCGTTTTGCCTGTAGCACTGAATCACGGGCTGACAGGGGTGCTCCGCGGTGCGCGGGGGGCGGCAGCAGAGCCCGCCACGCAGGGCAGTGTCCTCGGAACGGCAACATCCAGCACYGCTGCCGAGAGCCCTCTCCAAACAGCTCGTTTCTGCGGGCTGCAACGGCAGAAATCATTCCTGGACCACAGCCCGAGCTTTCAAAGCTTTCACTCGCACACAACCTTGAGGAGTGAGAGCCAAGCACTAGCACAGCCCGAGCCCCAGGGGTCACGCAGCAAAGTGCCCTGCTGGGAATCCCCCCAGGAAAGAAGGATGGATGGGGTTTCCTCTCCGGCCACCTGGGGCCAAGGACAAAATGCCTCTGTTCCCACCCTTCTTACCATRGCTGATGTGAGACACCTTGATCCAACAGCTCAGGTTCAGGCTCTGATGCAGAGTCTCTCCCTCTCCCCATCTTAATGGGGACCTGGAGATCCTACTCAAGCCTGTTGCTGGATAAATCCAAGTAGAATAGGCAGGTTCACACACCCAGGTCCATTGCACTCACTGCTAAGAAACTATTCCATCTCTTCTACCAACACTAGAAGTTAAATCGAGCTTTAATCCTTTGGACGAGCACTGCGTCACTCATGGGGCGCCCTCCCAAACGCCTGCAGCTCCTCGCCCGCCCCGAGCTCGTGGYGCTGGCTCCGCGTTTCCGCACCGTGCAGAGGTCGCCTCCGCACAGCATCCGAGCGGGAAACCTTGAAAATGCAAAGCCGTCCGACAGCAAGCCCGAAATGTCAGGGCAGGAGAGCCTGGAGACGCAGCCCGTGCAGAAGAAGAAGTGCCCACGATCTGTCACGAAGATCCAGCAACCACCTCCCCATCGTCTGGCATTTACAAGCTGCACGTCCTCTCTAAACTACCGACACTTTCTACCTGGGAGAAACAAAACTGGAGGCTCCCAGCTCTGTGCAGACACCATTAAGTGACCTCTCAGGAGCTGACTCGCTCGTCTCAGTGGAGCCGAAAATACCAGAGTTCAACGAGCGTTTTGCCTCTGCAAACACTGCAGGATCAGGYCCAGCATCAGCTGTTTCCAACAGCCCTGCAGACATTCGCAGAAGGCCGGGCTCTGCTCTCCACAGCACAAGGATAAATCTGAAGCAGCCCCACCGTCTTCAACGGCATCGTTTTGCATTTACACCAGTACACTGAACACAAAACAGAGCACGCCATAAATATTTTAGCTGCTTTTTCAGCTTTGTTATTCTGTTCAAAGCAGGAAACATGACAAACCTTTGATTGTTTTGCTTAATACCAAACAATAATTCAAAGAGAGACAAACAAGCAACATTAAATGATGCCTGTGATATACGGAAGGAGCTGATGAATTAGAAGAAGTTGATGAGAACGGCAGGGATGGGCTCCGCGCCTTCCCCCTGCACGTCCCCTCCGTGCTGCTCGGCAGCACCCGGCGCTGCGGGGCGAGGAGCAGAGCTGGGTGTGTGGTCAGCACRTCCTGGAGTCCCTATACTTTCAACACAACCTCCAGAGCGGTGGCCACCACAGCTRAAAACACTTCAAAAACACCCCTGTGAATGTACTGATGGTCCAGGTTGCTCTTCCCTGCAGAGCACCTTCCCTTCCACCATGCTCCAAATCCCCTCCTCAAGCAAGCGAGGAGCRGGAATGCAGCCCGGCCTGGCCGTGCTCGCCTGGCCCCTTCCAATGACCTCTGCAGCATCTGGAGGGGAAAACTGCCATCCAGAGCAATCAAGAGCTTGCCCGGGGCGGGCAAGCAGCGCTCAACCACTGTGCCCATTTCCAACCACAGTGGTGGACATGGCACGTGCGCCGAAACCCCCCTGTCCACCCCATGAACAAGTTGTTCCTGCAACGCTGAAAACCTGGGTGAAAGGAGGACACCGCCAACCGCATACGAGACCACGAGGTGCACGGGTGTCTAGCGGAGAGGCCGCGTCCCGGCGGCGCGCTCACCTCCGGCAGCGGCATGCCGTTGATGATGAGGTCGGGCTGCTGGGCGCTCTGCCCCGTGAACGTGTGGTGGTAGATGTGGTTGGAGCCGGCGTTCCTGCTGTTCTGGCTCTCCACGTTGAGGAAGGTGCTCTCCGAGCGGCGGCAGCCCAGCGGCAGCGTCTGCTGGTGGTAGTCGAAGTAGTTGAGGGACGACGTGAGCGAGGAGCAGCTCACAACGTTCATTTTATCCGTCTCTTCCACRTCCCGCGGCACCAGGCGGATATCGTTCTTGCTGATTTTCTTCTTCTTGCTCGATTTCTTCTGATGCCCGTAGGAGTACTCTGCGATTCTGGGGGACAGAAGCAAATGAATAGCTAAGAGCATCCCAAACTCTGCCTTGCTAGATAAGCATTAGGAGACCCAGCGGGCTTGGCCCCATCTCCACGCAGCCTTCTTAGTCATGCACATTACGTCACGCACTGGGTCTTGTAGCACTATATGGTCCTTAGCTTATTTTCATGYATAATGTGCTCCGGTCCAACTCTTGAAATAAGGGCGAGGGAAAAATGCCTCTGTGTTTTGCTAGTGTTTTTAATTGCTGATATTTAGCTACTAGGAATAAGGTCCAGCCTGCAGAGGAGAAAGATGGAGATGTTAAAATCCATGAACTGAAAAGGGTACCTGAATCCATTTCCATACGKAATAAGGATTTTAAAAGTGATTTAATTTGGTCTCCGTAATGAAAATTCAAAATGAATTGCGGATTTTTTCCCCAGTTCATTTTCCATAGCAGTAAATAAAGCAAACCCAGAAGCAGTCCTAGCTGGCAAGCTCTGCTCTATCGCACTCCAAAGGCTGCTTGTTTATTAATGTTTTATCCAAATTGCTACTCTTTCGACTATCTCCTGATAATACCTGATAACTTCAAACCTTTTCTCCAGCTATCTCCTCTTCCTCACTCCCCCACCACATCCCCCCCTCTTCTGCTGGGAATTGCGTTCGCCTTCCAGAGAGCCACCTCATTTTGCAAAGAGAAATGATCCTTTCTGACCTTTTTCTTCCTGCAAGCTTATTTTTCTCTGCCTTCCTTTCCCTCTTTGCTTCCCACCTGCCAAAAGAATCAACTGATTAAGTGCCTTGTTTGCCTTCTACAAAACACCGGAGGAAGAAAGTTACCATAAAACACTACCCCAGCAAATAATAAAAACCACGATGGCACCTCGTGCATTAACTCTCTATGCTCTGCTCCAAGGGACTGTGGCTCATTTTTAGCCAACACGACGGTGATGAACCTCCCCCAGATGACTACACGCATGCACAGGGCTGCGCATCGCTGTCCTTCCCAGGGCAGCACATTAAGTGGCCCCTTCACGGTCGGAAATACACATTTGAAAGTCGTGAGTCTGAAGCCTCTTCTTGTTGTGGTAGCAGCATTAAAAAAAAATTGAAAAAAAAATCCAATAACTGCAACAGAAATAATAGGATGAATAAATAATACAGTTTATCTAGAAAAGCAAATATTGGGCAAATACTCTTGTTCCAAAAAGCTAATTGCCTGAGCATGAAAATGCCACCCAGTCGAACAGCTCTCTCATATAACCTTATGTGCCTCATAAATTAACACGTTTTATGAAGCCTCTCCAGCAGATGTTGTTGAGAACCTCTAAAGCAAGGAAAAGGCCGAGCTAAATGCACACACACACAGCAGCCACGGGGGTGCCGGGCGACCACGGCCGACACTCAGCCCCTCTATTACTTCTTTACTCCACAGCTGACTTCTGCTGCTGGGATTCACACCGATAACAGACCGTGCATTCCCCTGAGCACGCAAATAAATCAGAGGGACGCCGGGATTTCTGTTGTGCCAACAATCTTCATGCTGCTGACTGCTCTAACAATGCTTGATGAAGCTTTAATTGTTTTGTTTACCTAAATGTTTAAGTTTGGCAAGGCGAGATCCCAATTATTTCCTGCAGGCATTCATTTTGCTGTCCTTTCTCTATTGACCAATTATTTAATTAAACTGCACTCCATTAATCCCTAAGCCATCACACTAGACCCAGTGCGTACACACATGCACGAAGCTGTTAGGGGCATCGCCACGATTTGATTTTTGTACATTCAGAGCCCAGTCTTGCTTAATGGGCCGAGCTGGCAAGAAACCCACTATATTAGCTCCTACTTAAAGCTAGGCATCCCATAATACCACCCACAGCAGCCTTTATTTGCAGATGATTTTCTCCCATCAAGCAAAAGGGCTTATAAGCACACTTAGTGTTGGAGGGGGGGAAAAAAAGGGAGGTGTAAAAGCGGAACTCCCCATCATTATTCCCACGTAAATAAAACTTTAGGGACCGCGCAGCCTCCCGCACCGGAGCGGGGCCGCTGGCGAGGTGCCCTTTCAAAGGTAGAAGCAAAATTAATTTCCATCCCTCCCCTCCGAAATGCCTCAGCGCCGGAGGAGCGGAGAAGTCATGGCTATTTCACCAGTAACAGGATTAAACCATTTATGAGGCATTGCAGCTGCTCTTTTATGGCATCTGATTGATATTCATGTGTGGTTAGCGTTTGTCTACTAACTTGTGTAACACGGAGAATAGTAAAAGCGAGACAATAATCGCCGCGCTGTTACATATTCAGGGCTCCGCGGCGCGCGGGAGCCGCGCCGGCCTCCGCCGCAGCGCGCGCCGGCCCGCGCACCGGCCGCGCGCCCCCCGGGGGCAAACATAACACAGGAAAGCAAAAAATAAATTAAAAGGGGGAAAAATACAAAAGGAAAAAAAATGAAAAAGAAAAGGAAAATTAAAAAAGGAAAATAATAAGATGCTGATATCGCCGCGCTGCGCAAGACCCGCTGCGCGCGCGGGGGGAGGCGGCTTTTCCCCCCTCTTTCTTTGGGGTTCCCCGTCATTTGTCACCGGGGCCGCACCCCTGTCGCCGGGGCACAATGGCTCTTTTGAGAGGGGACAAAAGGGGGTTCGAGGCGGGGGGGACACGGGGGGCCCGGCCGCCCCGCCGGGGCAGAGCCCGCGCGAGCGCGCCCCGCTCCGCGCGCCCCCGCGGGCACCGTGCGGGGACGGGCAACCGCCAAGCACAAACACCCGCAAACACCCGCAGAAATAAATAAATTAATTAAATAATAAATCAACGGAAACAGTTCGCGCCGCTCCTGCCGCCGAGCACATAAAAATAACGCATGCTGCAACAGATTGCCGAACGCCGTTCAAGGCGGATTCTTTTTTCTTTCTTCTGATAAACTTATTTTTCTAAATAAGATTCTTCTTATTTAGATTCTTCTACACGGCTTTTTCAGCCTCCTAAGGAAACTGGCTGTGACCTTCGATGTTTTTCCTTAAAGCAAATTTAACCCGTCTTCCCCCCCCCCGCCCCACCACCCTCAGCCCCAGGTGTACAACAGCAAATGGGAAGGTATCTGGGGTTGCAAAAATCAAAGCACACGCTGCCAGGGTACAGAGATATAAGGGTGTTTTTACCTGCAGTTATAGGTCCTGATTTCCTTGTTATCCCTTTTGCACTTTACTGCCACGAAGATCATGGTGACAAAAAGAATGGCCGCGATAGAGCCCAGGGCGATAATGAAAATCAGGGACAAGTTAACAGATCCGATGGACTCCTGGGCATCCAGGGCTGGAGAGAGGTATATCAAAATCAAGGCAGAAGCTGACAGAGATGTTTTCCCATGGTCATGAGCCACCACAATCAGCTCATACGCTGTCTTTGCATTCTCCCCAAAGGCTCTGGTGGTCCTTATCTCTCCATTGACCTGGTCRATCTCAAAAAAACCCCTGTCCCCTTCGACCATTTCATAGGAAAGTCTGCCATTTTCACCCTCGTCGTAGTCATCCGCCTTGACCACTGTCACTAAGTAGCCCACGCCGGCGTTCCTGGGGATGTAGACCTCAGCAGTGCCRTTGACCAGCGGAGGGGCCGTGATCACGGGCGTGTTGTCATTCACATCCAGGACGATCACCCTGACGGTGGCATTGCTCTGCAGCGACGGGTTACCCCCATCCTTTGCCAAGACCTTAAACTCAAAGGCCTTTGTCTGCTCATGATTGAAGGACCTCAGAGCATAGATATCCCCAGAATTCGGGTTGATGGARACATAGGTGAAGACGGGCATGTCCCTGACTTGGGAGGGCACAATCTGATAGGAGACACTGCCGTTGAGGCCCAGATCCGGGTCCCTTGCTGACACAGACAGGAGGTAGGCCCCCGGGGTGTTGTTCTCCTGCACRATGACCTGGTAATAGGGCTTGGAGAAGTGCGGATGGTTGTCATTCTCATCAGTGATCTTCACAGTGAAGGACTTGGTGGCCTGAAGGGAGGGGATGCCATTGTCCCTGGCCTGGATGGTGAGGTTGTACTGGTCCCTCTGCTCCCGGTCCAGCCGCCCATCCACCAGGATGGTTGAGAAACTCTCGTACTCCTGGAGCCGGAAAGGCACGTTGCCCAGGAGCTTGCACTGCACCCGGCCATTCGCTCCGGAGTCGCGGTCGGACACTCGCACCAGGGCAATGACGTACCCTGGTGGGGCGTTCTCACTCACCTCCACCAGCTCGCTGTTGACAGAGAGGAGGTTAATGAGCGGAGGGTTGTCGTTGGCATCCTGGACGCTGATGGTCACTTTGCAATGGGCAGGGATGGAGTTAGGCCCCAAGTCCTTGGCCTGCACATCCAGCTCATAGACGTGACCTTCCTCATAGTCGATGGCACCACTGACCGTGATGAGGCCGCTCTGGGGGTCGATCTGGAAAAGCTCCCGGGCCCTCTCAGAGACATAACTGTGGAAGGAGTAGAGCACCTGGCCATTGGTGCCCTCATCCGGGTCAGTGGCATTGAGGCGGATAACCGGTGTTCCTGGCGGGGAATTTTCAGGCACGCTTACGGTGTAGGCCGGCTCCTCGAAGAGCGGGTTGTTGTCATTGGAATCGATGACACGGATGCTGAGCTCCACCGTTCCAAAGTTGGGTGGGTCGCCACCATCCAGCGCCGTGATCACGTAGCTGTAGTGGGACTGGGTCTCGCGGTCCAGGCTCTTCTCCACCACCAGCTCRGCAAAGCGGGAGCCATCCCCCCGCGTCTTGGTCTCCAGCCCAAAGAGGTCGTTGGGCGTGATCTCATAGCTCTGCACGCCGAAGCTGCCCGAGTCCGGGTCATAGGCACTCTCCAGAGGCACCCGCGTGCCRGGGCTGGCCGTCTCCGAGATCTCCAGCTCGATCTGGTCCGTGGGGAAGCTGGGCGCGTTGTCATTGAGGTCCTTGATCTCCAGCTTGATCACGCAGATCTCCATGGAGCTGGACATCACCTCCAGCGAGATGACGCACTTGGGGCTCTGCCGGCACAGCAAGTCCCGGTCTATCTTCTGCTTGGTCACCAGCAGCCCCGAGCCGGGGCTGATGTCCACCAGGTGGGGGGCCGAGTTGGAGACCACCCGGAAGGCCGTGGGCTGCCGCGAGTCCAGCACGAAGCCGGCGTCCCGCGCGTCCTTGGCGACGTTGGCGATCACGGTGCCGGCCCGCTGCTCCTCCTCCACCGAGTACTTGAGGTTGATGAGGGCGCCGGCTCCGGCCCACAGCAGGGCGGCCCCCAGCAGCGCCGGGAGAGCCCCCATGGCCGCGCCCGCGCCCGCCAAGCGCCGCGCGCGCCCCGAC